GTCGTCGTCGTCGTCGTCGTTGCGTCGTCGTTGTTGTAGTGGATTTGGCAGTGGTAGTGGCAGTGGTAGCAGAAATCGCAGTATACAGTAGCAGCAGCAGCAGGCAGAAAAATAGCCGCACCATGCAGGTCGAGTGTACGGCTGACGAATCTGAATCAGCAGCTGCCGCGCTACCAGAGGAGGCTGATCCTGATCTGCGGCCGGACAAAAGCTGCATCAGCCATGCCGTCACTTGGCCAGGTTGGTTCCGAATGTCGTCAATGTAGGAAAGAATCCTCCTGTCCGAGGCACCTGTCTTACAAAGTTTTGCTCAGCTTTGCAGTGCAGCCTTGGGTGGCAGCTTCTTTCAGAAATCGGTAGGAGGGACAGTTCGGGAGACATAATCACGAGTGAAGCCGAGGGCAAACTGCCGGTCTGAAGTCAGGATTCGAAGTTCTCAGCCCCTGCTCAAAAAAAATGTTAAGTAGAGCCTTTGCCCTCTGAAGCTGTTTCAAATTTGACGAATGATCACATGCAGGCTGCAAGCTGGGCCCTTCACATATTGGCCGTTAGTTCCGCCTAGGCCTGCCTGTGAGTTTCACATCGTCCACAAGTTTGCTGTGCCTACACAAGGATCTGTTGAGGAGCTTTTGTGCTAGAGAGTCGGTTGTGGCTATCCATTTCAGGTGAGGGTGTTCGTTTACGGCAAGCTCGCTCACGATGCTTCAAAATGGGAGTTGCTGGTTCCTGCATGCGAACCGCCAGACGAGACTTTCCCGACAGCTGCAGCGGATGGCCAGCATGATCAAATTGTGGATTCTGGAATCCTTGAGGACAATGAAGCTGTTCGTCTGATGCCCGAGAACTCGGCTGCCCAAAGCAAACCCATGCAGGGTGATTCAAACAGTGCTTCTCCTCCCAGTAATGCTCAGGCCATGTGTTGCGATCGCCAACTTTATGATACGACAAAGAAAGTGGTTATGGAAGGTAAACCAAGTATTGGAGAGCATTTCATTTTGCACAGGTGGAATTCGATGAAGGATTGCCGAACGAGGTGGGTTTTGCTGAGGCAGACGGCGTTGAGGCGGAGAGTGCACAAGACTGGCGTACGCATTCATCCAGTGCCGGAATGCTTTTTTAAATTTAGCACGCGTGCCGGCTTGCGAGGACGTACGCCAGAAGAGGGTCTCACCAGGGAGCGAGACGAGCAGCCACAGTTCGTCCTCGTAGAGGCTCTGGCGGGAGTTGAGCTTGACTGCAGTGCAGTGGAGGGTCTGCTTTTGGCAAGTGGTCCGTGCTTCAGCTGAGCGATGGACTGGCCTGGATTCGTTTGACAGAGCGGTACTCGCCGATGCACGGTTCTGGTTGTGCCAGCTAAAGTTGGGGGGGGGCAGGGGGGAGCTGTAGGGGGTCATAGAAAGCACGACGGAGAGATCGGACAGACCGGCAGACAGGCAAACTTGCAGGTAGGTCCTGCCAACATTATAGCGCGCTACTCGTAGTAGCAGCAGTCGTTGTCCGTAGGCCGAAGGTTCGTCGGTACAAGGGCATGCTGAGTCTAGCCATGGCACCATCCCAGCATTGGGTCCACCTCGTGCTGTAATTCTTTTTCGTTGGACTCGAAAGAGTTGGAAGGTTTCGCTATCCTGCTCTGCCTTACGGCGAACTCCTGAGCACCTCGAATCCGTGCAGACAAGTGCAGCACAAGACTTGCATGAATCTCTGTGATGCTAAGACCAAGATCTATGAGAGGCGTCTAAGACGTCCGGAATTGGGAACCCGAGAGAAAAATCGCACAAAGTGGCCGTTTGCTTCAGTCGATCTGAGTCAGAAGAGGTCATGGGCCTGATGGTGTCAGCAAGTTTCTCCGGTGCTTCAGGTGCATTTGCAGAAGCCGTGCCATATTCGTTGCGCAATTTCGGCCTAAGCAGCTGTGCCAATGCAGGCAGCAGTGAAGTTAAACACCTCAGTCCTAAATCATTCAACCAAGCTTACGCAATCATTCGACCAAGCTTATACCCCCCTCATATTATAATTCACAGCACTCCGACAGACGGTCGCCAACAGTACAGTGAAATGAATGACAGCACACTCACAGTCACTCATCCTGTAGTCTTGAAATTTGGTGTTAACGTGGCCTGGTCGTTGCTCGTCCGAAAGGGCGAGACATCGTTGCAACCCTGACTCATCTCCCAAAGAACAGGACTGCCTTTGAGGCATTTGTTCCGGCCCTCGCGTCGAGATGCCTGCGAATAAGAAGAAGCAGGCGGCCACGCCACCATCCTCCGATGATGAACCAGAGGAGAGCGAGTCAGGTAGCAGTGAGGCTGGTCCAGCTCCCAAGAAGAAGAATCTTTTCGCTTTGATGATGGACTCGGACGAGGAGGACTCGGACGAGGAGGAAGAAGAGGAGGAGGAAGAGAAGCCACCTCCGCCTCCGAAGAAGCCGGAGAAGGCTGACAAGGCAGAGAAGGCTGACAAGGCAGAGAAGGCTGACAAGCCGTCAGGGGACAAGGCGGAGAAGGTCGACAAGGTTGAAAAGGCTGCAAAAGAGGACAAGGCAGATTCGTCGCCGGAAAAGAAGAAGAAAAAGGATGACCCCGTTGATGATGAGATTGCTATGTTTGGCGAGAAGAAGAAGAAAAAGAAGACTGCTGACAAGGAAGACAAAGATGCCAAGGACGAGAAGAAGGAAAAGAAGGAAAAGAAAGAGAAGAAAGAGAAGAAAAAGAAAAGCCCGACCGTCTGTGAAATCATAGAGGTCTCTCCTATTCCCAAGAAGGACAAGCTCAAGCTGTGCAAAGTGGTGGTGATGGCGGGTGTTGACCCAGTTGACATTGTCACGAGCGCCCCGAATGTGGCTGCCAACAAGAAGTTCATTGCCGCACCACCGGGATACACGACAGCTAATGGGGTCGATGTCAAAGTTTCAACAGTGGGCGGTGTTGAAAGCGCCGGTATGTTCTGCGGGCCTAAAGAAATGGGATGGGACACAGATGTGCTTGATGCTGGCTTGGCTGTCATGCTTGCAGATTCTGCGGAAGTTGGTCAGCCAGCACCCTCTTATGAAGAGGCTGTGGAGGCTTTTAAGGAAAGGGAGCGAGAGGAACTCAGGAAGCAGGAGGAAGCAGCAAAGGCAGCAGCTGCGAAAGCGGCAGCCAGCAAAGATGATAAGAAGGGTGGCAACAAGAAGAAGAAGGGACACTTTGCTGACATCACATGGATGGAAAGTTGTTGGCATTCCTTCCCTTGTCCTAATCGATCCAAGTGTCCGTTTTTTCAGTCCAGAGCTACGCCGAAACCATTTCTTCTGTTGTTTCATGTGCATGCAGATGTGTTTTCAGTGGTTTCCGTGGCTAAGGAAGGGGCAAAGACGATGACGAAGACATGGACGATGTCTTGGCAGACTTCAAAGAGGATGTGCCGCCAGCTGGAGACAGCAAGTCAGTGAATGCAAAGAAAAAGGACAAGAAAAAGGCTCAAAAGGCAGCGGACGATGATGAGTTCGATGCTGCTTTGGATGAGTTCCAGGAAGACAAGCCGGAGCCAAAGGCAAAAGCTGCTCCAAAAACAGCAACCGATAAGAAGAAAGCCCAGAAGAAGGCCGCTGATGAAGACTTTGATGCTGCATTGGACGAGTTCCAGGAAGACAAGCCGGAGCCAAAGGCGAAAGCTGCTGCAAAAACAGCAGCCGATAAGAAGAAAGCGCAGAAGAAGGCTGCTGATGAAGACTTTGACGCGGCGTTGGATGAGTTCCAGGAGGACAAGCCGGAGCCAAAGGCGAAAGCTGCTGCAAAAACAGCAGCCGATAAGAAGAAAGCGCAGAAGAAGGCTGCTGATGAAGACTTTGACGCTGCGTTGGAAGAACTTCAGCCACCTGCTGAAGACTCGGCTCCAGAACCAAAGGCCAAGGCAGAAGCAAAATCGGCTAGCCAGAAGAAGAAGGATAAGAAGAAGGGCCAGAAAGGGGATGCAGACGACGATTTCGATGCGGCCTTGGATGAACTAGGTGACAAGCCAGAAGCTGCATCCAGCACTGCAGCGGCAGAAGCCATCCCAGAGAAGCCAACTCCAGAAGCTGCGCAGGATGAGCAAGATGACAAGGATGAGAAGGACGAAGAGCTTGATGCCAAGACCCTTGCCAATCGAAAGAAGAAGGAGAAGAAGGCAAAAGCCAAGGCAAAGCAGAAGACAGGAGGAGAAGGCTTTTGGGGCTCGTCAGAGCCCCAAGAGGAGTCGGAGACCAAGGAGGCCCCCAAAGAGGAGCCAGCAGCAGCAAGCAGCAAAAAGGAGAAGGCCAAAGCCGCACCGAAGAAGGAGAGCGCCATCGTCCGGGCAGCCCGAGAGCGCCTGGAGCTGGAGCAGAAATTAGCGGAGGAGAAAAGGGCCTTCGAGGAGGCCGAGCGGAAGCGGATCGAGGAGGAGCAGCAGGCAATCGAAGAGGAAGAGAGGCGCTTGGAGGAAGAGCGGCAGAAGCGCCGAGATGCCAAGGCCGCGAAGATCGCGAAGCAGAAGGCGGAGGGCACTTACCTGACCAAAGCGCAGAAACTGAAGCAGCAACGAGCGGCGCAACTGCGCGAGCAGTTTGGCTTCACGATGGATAAGGACGAAGAGGATGAGGCCGAGAAGGCTGAGGAAGACAAACAGAAGCGGCCGATGGCCACCAAGTTGAAGAAGAAGAAGCCCGCGCCCGGGGAGGAGGCATCACCCGAAAAGGTAAAGGAGGAGCCGCCAGAGGAGAGGGAGGAGAAGCCAGAGGAGAAGGAGAAAAAGCCGGAAAAGAAGGAGGAGAAGCCGATTCAGAAGGAGGAAGAGGAGGAGAGCGATGGCTGGGAGAAGCTTGACGAACAAGAGGAAGAAAAGGAAGAAGCTGCCAAGGAGGAAGAGGCTTCCGATGAGGAAAGCGGGGACGAAAGTAGCAGTTCCAGCAGCTCTTCTTCCTCTTCGTTTATGGGATACCGTTCGCCGGTGATCTGCATCATGGGGTGCCTGGATGCAAACATGAGCTGCTTGTTGCACGCTGCATAGAGCGCAGCCTTCTCATTTTTTCGGAGCGCATGAACAGCCAAGGCATGTCGATACAGGCAAAACAAAACTTCTGGACAAGATCCGTAGAACCAACGTGCAAGAAGGCTGGGCTGCAAATCCGGAGCCGGGTAGGCCTGAAGACTTCCCACAGCGCGATCGGTCACATGTGCAGCTTTGATTCATGCAGCTTCGAGCCGGTGATGTCTTGCAATGCAGACGACCCAGGTGAAGCAGGTGGCATCACCCAGCAGATCGGAGCAACGTTTTTCCCTGACATTGCACTACAAGAGCAGACGAAGAAGGTTGACGAGGACTTCGAGCTGGAGGCAGCTCAACGGCACTGGAAGCAGATGGGGCCTCGCAAAGAGGAAACAGATACCAACACATTGTTCTTTTAAAGTAAACTTTAAAGGCCCTCAGCATGCCACGTAGGCCGTCCTTTGTTGGATCTCGATACTAAAGTTCAAGATAAGGCTGCTAGTCACTGCTAGTCACCAAACGCGACATCTCAGCAGATGTTCCTTCTGGATGTACTTTTTTTGGCCTGTTGCATGTTAAATTCTCAAAGCAGGATTGGGTTGGCAGAGGGCATGCAACTTTCCAAGGTCCCTGGCCTGCTTATCATTGACACGCCTGGTCACGATGCTTGGTGTGCACTTTGCGGGATGTGTGTAAGTGATTTGGTATTCGGCAGTGTAGTTAGGATCTTGTTCCTAGACTTCCTGTGTTGCTTGTGATTGGTCAGCGGCAGGTAGGAGGAGAGAGGAGAGACGGAGAGAGAGAGGACGGAGTCGAGGGATCGGATAGGTGTTCAGGTGCGGGTTAACGGTTAAAGGCGTAAAGTGAGCGTGAAGTGCTGCCGGTCTCACGTCGACCTCTTCACGGTACGCTGGACGAGGAGAGAGAGAGAGAGAGAGAGCCCCAGTTTGCAACTTGTGTGTCTCAACACCGAGGGGAAAGTGTAGTTGCATGCTGGAGGGGTCTATTGACTATTGCAATTTATCACTTCTCGGTATGTTTAGCACAGGTTGTAGGCGGGTTTGGGGATGGGCTTGATTGCGTGATTTGAAACCTGCCTCAGTGGGGTCTCAGATCGTCGGAGTGCCGAGAGGCAGAGAGCCTGGAGGCTGGTATCAGTTTCATTAAAAGTGTATCTTGTGCCGGACAGGGCAACCTGTGCTCCATGCCTACAGCCAGCAAGAGCGCGAGAGAGCGAGAGAGAGAGAGAGAGAGGCGGCGTCTTGTTACCTTCCCGTGCAGTTCCAACCTCAGGCTGGAGGCTTTTCGGGCGGTAGAGGCCAGTCTTTGACGGGGAGAGTACGCTTCCACCGACTTCTATCGTTAGCAAGTAAACAAACAGACGCAGACAGGCGGAGAGAGCGCCCGAAATGTTTTCTCCAGGTGCCGTGTCCTGATGTCTGAGCTGAGGAATCCTTCAACAATCTCCGGATGCGCGGATCCTCTTTGGCCGATCTGGCAATCCTTGTCATTGACATCATGTACCTTTGCTGTCACTGGCCGGAGGCCTCCGGGCTGTCCGGGCCTTCGGCGGCGCAAAGATTAATCCTAAACCACCATGCGACCGATTTTTGAGGGAAGTCCTCGCTCAGGCACGGGCTCGAGCCTCAAACGGCGACCTGGCTAAGTGGAAGTCGAAATTAGGAAGGAGGTTTGTTTCGGCGTGCTCTTGCAGCTGACCGTGAAGCGTATATCCAGGTAAGGGACAGGGGCAGACTTGACATGAAGACAAGGTAGAATCGTTGGAGCTGCTGAAAAAGCGTCGTTGTCCGTTCATCATTGCGATGAACAAGATCGACATCCTCTACCAGTGGAACGCAAAGTCGTATACTAGTGCCCAAGATGCCTTGAACCGACAAGAGCAGTCTGTGCGAATGGAGTTCCAGACCCGGTACAACAACGTCATGCTGCAGCTGAACGAGCGGGGGCTGAACTGCAGCCTGCTTCTGGGCTGCAGTGGAGCTGGGAGACAGCGAATGATTGTGTTTGCGTGTGTTTGCTTTTTCGTGGTTCCTAGGTATTGGGAGAACGATGATCCGCGTACTTCTGTCTCCATTGTTCCAACCAGCGCGCTTACCGGTGAGGGTGTGCCGGATTTGTTGTACATGATCCTGAAGCTCACTCAAGACCTGATGGGTGCCAAGCTGGAGTGCAGGGAGGAGCTGGAGTGTACAGTGATCGAAGTCAAAAACATCGAAGGCCTTGGGACCACCATCGATGTGGTGCTTCTCAATGGCACCCTTCGTGAAGGTGACACAATCGTTCTGGCTGGCTTGGGTGGTCCAATTGTCACAACCATCAGGGCTTTGCTGACACCTCAGCCAATGAAGGAGATGCGAGTTAAGCATCTTGGCCGGTTCTTCTATGCTTGCAATTCATTGTGCTTTGCTTGCTTTGCAGCCGCAGTTGACAACTAGGAACGAGTACGTCAAACATGCGGCGATCAGCACCTCCATGGGCGTGGCCTGGACCTGGAGCATGTGCACCCAGCACCCATGAGCTGTCCTGGCTCTTAACTTGAGGCTTTCTGCAAATCGGAGCTGAGGTGAAGATCTCGGCACCAGGCCTCGAAGAGGCTGTTGCCGGCACGCAGCTCCTCGTGGCTTGGTGTTTCTGGTGTGGGATGTGGCCCAAGCTTTGCCGTCCACACAACCTTCTCCAAACCTTCGTGGGCTTGTGCGTTCAATAGCCACAGTCAGCAGCTGTCCAGCCACACAGGATTGTGTACACTCCAAGCTCCATGGGTGGGTTTCTGGTCTTGGCTGAGGTTTGTGGGCCTGACGATGATCTCGAAGACTTGAAGGACGAAGCGAGCGAAGGCTTTGCTTCTCGGTTGCACCTTGCCTTCGGCTTTGCTGCCTACGCCTACGCCTTCGCCGCTCAACTAAGGAGAGCATTCTCAACGACTTTGCCAAGGAGCCGGCAGGAGTTTATGTGAAGGCTGGTTGCGGGGATGCGGTTGGTGTTTTCAAGTCTGCACAGGGGCACAAATATCGTGGCCACTTGTTGTTGCCGAGAAGGAAATGCGCAAGTCACCAGTCGCGCGGCAGAGTCATAGCAGCTCCCTGTTGCAGGCCAGCACCCTGGGGTCGCTGGAGGCACTGCTCTCATTCCTTCAGGACGTGGCACGGGTCGGGAAAAGAACAACCATGGAGCTTCAGGGACACTAATTGCATCTTAGCAATCCCGACCTCATGAATCCGTGCCTGCGAGTGTGCGAGTCAAAATCTGTGGGCTGACGACGCTTCCACCGACCCCGCAACAAAATCCACCAGATCCCAGGATGACCAAGCTTGAGCCAGATCGCAGAGCGAGTTTGCAACCCTGCGACAGTCGAGAGCCCGAGCGCGAGCTGCCACGATCAAATTCGAGCTCAGCATTTCCGACCACAGGGGGGGGGGGGGGGGGGCGTGCGATCGTGTTTTCGACAATAGCTAAACCAGTGCCAGGCGTACCAGAAGCACAACTACTACAGCAGCAGCACGGCTGCTCGGGAAACACGAAATCTGACAGCACGATGATAACAGAAAAAACCGTGCATTGAGCCTGCTCGCGCTTTGCCGAAGAATCCGCAAGGCAGTTGCGATTCGAGTCGAGTTTTTGCACACAGATTGGATTTCCCTGTTTCTGACGCCGCGGCCACAAAGTCGACCCTTGACGAAGAGAACAACTAATTGTCGTCCGCCTCCTTCCGGCAGGCAGATCCGGGAGCAGGGCGGATCTGGATGTGCTGGTGACGTAAGCACGACCCATGTGGAGCTGCGGGCACAAGAAGCGGAGGAAGGAGGGGTGACGGACGAGACCAGCACGCGGCCGGGCCCAGAAGATGTAGGTCAAAGCGAAGCGGTGATTTTGTGAAAACGACTTGGACCATGCCGGATAAACTTGTATTGATTTGGTGGAAAATATTTGTAGCCACAGGATTCGGATAGCATCTTACTACACAGGAGATTCTTGAACTTTCCGACGAGGAACGAGAGCAAATCAAGCCTCTGCAGGACATGAAGATTCCGGTATTTGACGTCGGAATTGGAGAGGTGCACAAGAAGGCGCAGCTTGCAAACTGCCTTTGCCCTTGTGGTTTGACTGTCATTGCAGCTTTCCTGCTATGCGTGGAAGGATGTAAAAAAAGCGATGATCATGAAAGAGAAGAAGCACCCGGAATATGCACTCATCCTGGCCTTTGATGTCAAGGTGAACGCAGATGCCCAGAAGCAGGCGGACACAGATGGCGTCACGATTTTCACCGCCGACATCATCTACCACTTGCAGGACAAGTTCACGAAGTACATGGAGAAGTTCCGCGAAAGTCAGAAAACAGAAACACGAAAAGTAGCAGTGTTCCCAGTGGTGCTGCAGATCGACAAGCAGCACATCTTCCGCAAGCAGGATCCCATCATCGTGGGTTGTCAAGTTGTGGGCGGCCAGTTGAGAGTGGGCACACCGCTCTGTGTGCCAGATAAAGACAACATGACCATTGGACACGTGGCCGGCATCGAGATCAACAAGAAAGGAGTGCCAAAAGCTCGCAGGGGTGACACGGTTTGTGTCAAGATAGAACAGACGACTGCCCAGAACCACATCATGTATGGGCGCCATTTCGACCACACCAGCCAGCTCTATTCGAAGATTTCGCGGGAAAGCATTGACACCTTGAAAGAACACTTCAAGGATGAGATGATCAAAGAGGATTGGGAGTTGGTCATCGGCATGAAGAAGGTCTTCAGCATCCAGTGAAACTGGAGCGAGTCCAGATGTGCACCGCGTACAGACCACTGGACCAGCTCTAGCACGGAGTGGGTCTAGATATTGGTGCCCTCTTTAGAGCCTAGACAACTTCAGGGTGCGCGATAGTGGTAGTAGAAACAGGGATGGGCACTCGATTCTTGAGGTGATGCCTCACATTCTGGCTTCTTTCTGACAGCTGTGCCAGTCTTCTGGTTGCAAGCGGGCCTGCAATGCGTGCCTCAGAGGAGTCACAAGAGCCGTAACTCTTGCAGTGTACAGAAAAAGCTGCAGAAAGCGTGAGCCGGAAAACTGCTTGTGGTTGGAGTTGGTGTGCAGGGTCATCGCCAATGAAAGAATGTCATGCCAAGTATTTTAGGTCGCGTAAGCATGAGCGGACACGACACGTTGGGCTTGTGCTCATGAGGCGGATTTGAGCTTTTCTGACAATATTACGTAGGCTTAGTAATAAAGACGATTCGAAGATTTAGCTCAATCGGCGCTTAGAGAAGTATTCCAGCAGAACAACATCAGAGGAGGGTGTGTTTTTCCGTGGCAGGATAACAACCACTGTTGCTTGAAGCTCTACAGGAAACAACCGCACCATTGCGGCTGCCGGCAGTCTGACCAGCATCTGCAATCCAGATGTCGCTGCAATGCTTCCGGCGCCAGATGCGGTGCTTGCGACAAGAAGGCAGGGATGTAGAGAGACGAAGCGCAGGCTTGAGATGTTTTTGGTGCCTGGTACCTCCCAGACGTTGGATGCTTTGTGGAAGCTGAGGAGTCCGAACCTGGTGCCAGAGACACATAGCACCTTTGCCTGAAAAGAGCAGCAATTGACGGAATCGACGGCGTTCTGGTGTGAATCCTCATCTGTGTAAGTGTCTGTGCATGCCAACTTAACACATAGCTGCGGCACAAGAGCAACGCTTGCGGAGAAGATGAGGACATCCACTTGATCCAGCCTGCCAGAGAGATGACTCGCCAACAGGTGATTGTTTCGGCCACGTCCCCAATCTGCTTTGGGGAGGGTCGTATGGTGAAGCGAAATTTGCGTCGTCATGTGACCCCTAGGCTGGCGTGGGCTTCTGGGGAGGACTGTTCCCGGCTCCAAGGATGCAAGTTGCTTCCATGTGCTTTAGGATAGGGCGAAGGAAGGATCAGACGAGGTTCCGCCGTGTACTGACGTGCCATGAAGATTCCAAGCAGCTGCAAAACGCAAGTGCTTTCGTTTTGTGATGCAGCCTTACAGTGCTCTTTTCATGCCTTCTTTGGCATTCTTGCCCACCATGCCGTTCATTGCAGGTGTCTCAGGCCAGAAGTTCAAATCTGGTGACTACTGTGAAAAACGCCGTGCGGGTAGCCGCATAGTGATGCCAGGCTTGCCACTGACTTCGAGGAGCACTGCGAAGTTCTTATCGCAGAGCCATGCAAACCAAATCGTGCAGCAGTATATCAGCAAGCACAGGTTCCAGGAGATGGCAGAGAAGACACAGTTCATGCTTCTAGCAGAAGAATTTCTACCTGTTTGGTACAACAACGACGACAACAACAACAACAACAACAACAACAACTATTCCCATGTACTCCCACCTCCCCTCACGCAAGGGGACAGATGAGCCACACGACGTGTGAGGTTCCGCCGTGTACTATGCCGGCGACGCTGTTCTGCATCACGATGCCCCAGGGCGTGATTACGGTAAAGGCACAGAGGAAGAAGTCTTCTGAACCCTTTTGACTTAATCGTCAGGAGGGCTCGAGCTGGGAGGAACGATAGTAAAGAGACGACACTGACAATGGACAACATGTGTTTTTTGGGTGCGCTCTTAGGGCACTGCCAAACCGTTGGAAGCCAGCGCCATGTCAGAAACTAAAATAAACGGCGTTCAGAGTTTCTTGTCATGCTGGGCCATTGAGGTACTCTGCTGGAGTTCCGAAGATGCAACGGTTCAGCTTGCCGCCGCCTGTGAAGCACCTATAGCTGGGTGTCAGCTTCAACATCGGTGGTTTGGTCTGCGACCCTTCCAACTGGCACTGGAAGATTGAGGGCATGTGTGCGCACGAGACTTTCTTGCTTGGGACACAAGCCGTCTGATTTGCGGCAGTGTGCAACTTCGACAGCAGGCTCTTGAAGCCAAAGGCCGGGCAAGAAGGTTCGCATGGCCTTGCTCAGGATGGCCAGCGTGGCTGTGATCATCAACGAGCTCTCCCTGCCCGCGGATTTGGCCATGATGCCCTGCTTCATCATGCTGGGGCAAAGTGCCGCCTGTCCCTAATTGCAAGTCTCGGAACTGGGAATTTCGGCAGTGTGCGAATCATGCATGCGTGGGCATCGGACGCAACATGTTGAGTTTTTGGCGCGGCCAGGCCTACCGGAGCATCACTGGCGAAGACCTGGCCCCGTCGCTCGTTTTGTTGGGATGGCAGTGTAGAGGCCTTCTGCAGGCCAATTTCCCCAAAATAGAGAGGAGGACAAAACTTGCGAGATTCATGGACAACCCCTCAAGGTGCAGCGAGATCCTCAAAAACATCCAGGCCGGGAGATACTGCCAGTGGATGTTGGTGTGACGCCATCCTAGCACACTTGTCCCATGTTGGAGGCAAAGCCTGTGGAAACTCTGCGTCACTTCAGCACTTCCTTCGGGCCACATGCCTGTCAAAGATGGGAAATGCATTGATGCCACGCTAAGTGTCACAGTTCACGCACCGGAGCCCTCAGCTGCCTTCTCCTTAATCTGCTTTCCACGGCCAGCATGCTGCGTCATAGCAGAGAGGATCCGTCCCAGGCTCGGCATTGCTGTGTGGACGCTGACGACACCACTCGTGCTCGGTCGGGTGCCAAGTGCGAAGCTCGCAACCTTGCCTTGGCGCTTTCCATGCAGGCAAAATCCGCGTGTTTGGCGCGCTTTCCCGGCTTTGCTGACCGTTGAATGTGTGAAGCCCCAACGTGATGCCAGTGAGTAGTGCCTGCTCTGTCATGGGATCATCGGCGGATGCCAGAGCACGGCAGTGCGTCCTTGCCGCCATCAATCGATGGTGGGGTTGTGGATGAATTCGGTATTGTGAAGCCTAGACCTTTTTTAATCCTCTTGGGCCGCAAAGCTTGATTTTGCTTCCGACCTGCAGAGTCTTTACATGTGCACCGTGGTCAAACATGCTTTTGCACTCCTTCACCTGCAAAGGCAGAAGCAAAATTCAGCAAGCCTCATGCCATGTGTACACAGAACATGAAACCCAAATGGGTTTCTCTATGTTAACAAAGACTCCGATTATCAGGTCTCTGAGCCGATACTGGAACAGGACGCTAGTTCTCGTGTCGGACTCAGGCTTGCTCGCCCCTGGCTGTCCAAACATCGCAGAAACTCATTGGACAGGGTGTGCGCATGCGGGCAGGCACGCACGTGTTTGCGTCAAAGAACGTGGGAGCCGCAATCTGCATAACCTGCATTGTCGCAAGACGCTCAGGAGGTAGCCGCGTTATAGTTGCACGCGCCACCACTCTTATCGCTGGCCTGCGGACATCGTAGTTGAATCTGCCCAGGTCGTGTAACGCGGGCCGGGATCGTCATGGTACTGAAAAGAACCGACACAACAGGAGCTGTGCCGAGCAGGGACATTACTGTACCCTTTCAACTTAGAGAAGCCACTGGTGGGCAGCGCCATGGTTTTGCCTTCAGAAACCGCCTGGCATTCGCAAGAAAGAAACGTCAGGAACTCCATGGCAGCTCCGGTCGGCATGTGCCAAAGAACCTCCTCGCTTGGATGACGAGCCTCCAGCATGCAACGTGCCATGAGGAGAAGCCAGTTGGTCCATGAAGTTTTATCCTTCGGGAAGGGCCAATTCCGTCCGCCAACATCCCTTTAATGAGGCCGGAGGCTCAGCTTGTTGGATTCTTGTGATCCCTGCATGCAAAGGCACAATACGGCAGTGGACATCTCGGCCGCTCACGGCAGAAGGCAACCTTGACACGCTCTCGGCGAGTCACACAACGTACACGGCTTCGTGCGCCGGTTGATGCTGTGGAGGCCAGGGTGATTTTGGCAAGCTTCTAGATTCAGATAGTTTCGTTGGCCTCGCACAGGGGTTGGGACAGTCTGCTCCCAGACACTGCCCCAGGCGGACGATAGCTTTTTCAATACTGGCCTTCGTCTGCAGGAGGCAAGCCAACTGACCGTGCTGACGTGGCTGGCTTTTCAATTGCTTTCACTTGTCCTGCAGTGGCAGTTCTGGCAAGAAGTGAGGACGAACTTGGATTTGTTTGGTGAGACTTTAGCCGTGCACTGCGCGCAAGATGTCTCCCAGCATGGTGTTTGTCACGGTCCGATCTGGAACGTCTCAGCCTGGCATGAATTCGTTTTGCATGGCAAGCCTTCAAGGCTATGGCATGCGGAATTGCCCTCAGTGCACCTGCGGACACGTGGTCGATTGATTGACTCGATTCCTGCCATTGATGCAGAGATTGCCCAGCTGGAGCAGGAGACAGCCAACCGCTTGAAGCAGCTGCGTGAGAGGCGGGCTGAGCTGATGGTTCTGCAGGGCTTGATGCCCGCGGGCCTGAACCACTCGGTTACCGGTCGCGCCTTCAACTCGACATACATCTTCCAGTTCGAAACACGCTCCTCGCCTCCGGTTTTCCTGCTATCCTTGAACCCCATCGCACGGTCACATCGTGTGGGGGAGATGCCGCCAACCATCGTGCCGTCGGACGACGCGGAAGGCAGTGATCTGTGGCCATGGTCGTTGCAAGTACGACGGCTGGATGCTTGGCGACATCATATGGCATGCTGTGGGGCGGGCATTCGGGCTTGCTGTCTGTCACTGCAGGAACCGACGCAAGCGGCGGCCGACTATCAGCGGTTTGGCTCTGGCGAGAAGGTGATCACCATCGAGGACCAGTCTGTAGAAGCGGTCTCCTCGGTGCGTCAGAAGGGCTACGTCCGCTGGGAGGCGCATGCGATCGCTACTTTTGCGCCAAGTTTCGTGCAATGTCAAGTTGGCAGGTGATGGTACAAAGCTCCGATCTGTCGGGGAAGCAGACTCGCTTCGTGGCTTTTGTCGAAGACTTTCAAGCGCCACATCTCGATGCGATTTACGCCAATTCCCAATGTTCGTTGACGAAAGCATGGAAGGCTTTCAACAAGCAGCACCAAGGGCATCATCACCATGCCCTCGTTTGGTGCAGGACGCTGCTGGGATATCTCCTTCCATGCGGCATGGTAGCGGCGCTGGCAGCTTGCAAGCAAAGTTCGGCTCAATCCTTATGGACAGCATGCAGCTTCGACCCACCTCACAGCTCCACACGACAACACTATTGTGCCGGAAAACAATAAATCGGCTGAACTGCAGGCAGTCTATTGGCGAGCACTACGTGCTCAGCACGACCCGCCGGATCTGGATGTTGAACTGAGCAAGGCCTGGTCAGTGCATGGTCCCTTTTCCCACCCACCACTTCTCTAGCAGTCTGCATTCTGTCGGTCGCTGCGTTGATGCGCGAATCAGAGCTTTGCTTACGCATCGAATGAAATCTGCTTCGCAAGGCTCCACCTGACGACACCTCCGGCTGCTGCGGCTTTCAAGCCATAATTCTCGTCAAGCTGGTGGTTATGGATGTCCCGCAGCAGGTTCCACGCATCCAAACCCTAGTCGCAGGTAAGGCCGATCCACATTACCTTCGGGGTGGCTTTATTTCTCGGAGACAGCGACATGTGTGATTCTGACCCTCGGTTCCGCATCGCCCATGACTCACGGCCGCAGGTTTGCATCGTTCTGTATCTCCTCGGCTGGTATGACACTGGGTTTCACAGACTTTGAGGATGCCTGCGGGTCGCAGCCACAATTTTCGCATCTGAGGAGCAGGAAGGGCTTCGTTGTCAGCTCTGCCTCTTCCATCCACAGCACTGCGAGCCGGAGCATCCCTTCCGTTTGGCCAACTCCGTTGCGCTGCAGCAACGTACCGGTTCAAGGGGTTGGAAGGTGCAGGTGCGCAAGTTGGACCATGGTGCACCGTTCTCTTGTGCAGGCTGATGGTTGCGTTTTTGATTCGTTCCATGTCGATGTTGAACAAGGGGAATGGCTTGGCTTGTGCAATCGTCCCTTTCGCTCAGGCTGCCTTCTTATGCACGCTGCTGTCTTCAGTCACTGGGCAGACGCCAGAGTAGTACACCCGAGGTGGTGGGACTTTGGAGACTCGTAGCTACAGTATGGTCTCGTAATACTTTTGGCTGCCTAAACTCGGTTCCCTGTGAGGGTTCAGTTTCGGGTTTGCTCAGTTTTGTCCTGGCAAGGTCAACGACTTCTATTGCTCTAGCCATACCTATCCAGCTCCCCTTCGCCCGCCTCGTCAAAAGGTTCCCCGTTGGTTTTTTGCGTTCGTGTCCTGAAAGCCCCTCAAGCTAGCTCTTGATCCCTGAAGCCCTGCGTGAATGCACCGTGTGCGCACTTGTCTTTCTAGTGCGTCAATTCCTCGCTTGCTGTCTATAGGGGCTGCCGGCTTAAGTAATCTGCGTCAACGGTCTGGCTCGGTATTCAATTCGACTGAACTGCATCTGAGGTGGCCAATCAGATAATCATCGGCCCCAGTCAGAAGCACAAGGCATCCGGCGAGTCTGGCGCAGAATGGATAGTGAGGCTTCTCGACGGCTGAATTGCAGAGTTTTCATTTTTCCCAGAGCAGACACCACGCATTTTGCCTTCCGTGCCTTTCTTATTTTGGAACAGCGCTTCAGGTTGTGTTCACAAAGCTAGCATATGCTTGCCCTGGCGTTTTGCCCGAGGATTGGTCTGTTGTGTGTAACTTGGCTTGGAATGTCGTGGATGGATCTCAAGAGATCCTTGGGGCCTTGGATCTTGGATCTAAGAGTCTACGCAGAATGCCGGTAGTGACCGGTAGTCTCTTCAGCCTGCTTGAGGTTTCCATCCTGCCATTTACCACCGGGGTGTACTGGGCCACCTCCGCACTTGTCTGGACCCCTGTGCTCGCTCGGATACTTTTCTTTCTGCCGTGTGTCATAGGCGCGGCTGCGAGACTTGTGCATGCCGGAGTGCTGAAAGCATGGCCAGCTCTCCCGCATGTGTCCGAGTGCATGCACAGGCTGGTTCTGCATATTTGCACCTCGGATATAATAGAGGCGTCTGCCATGCTCGCCTTCCCAAGAGCCATAATCAGAGTAGGAAATCCAAGGCGACCGTCCTGTCTTGCCTCGTGGCTTGCTGTGCTGAAGCGCCGCACGCCAAGTTGACAGAGAGCGTTCGATTTCAAGCTTGAAAGCTGTGGTGTCGTATTGAGGTGAGGGTGATGTAAGGACATGGTCTGAGATAGAGGGACAAAGTGGCCCTTTTCCCTTAGAGCATAGCAGCATAGCTGCGTCGCCAGAAAAATTTCTGGACAGCTGTCGAATCTTCTGCTGGAGACCACAGGGACTGCGCATGCATGTTGTCCACAGCGCCTTTCTTCTCTCGCCTTGTGCCTGCGTGAAATGCAGGGTTTTTCGAGACCGGATGAACCACAGCTTTTTGGCCCCATGCTGCGAAGCAGCAGAGCTGAAAATCTTGATCCACCACTATTTGACAATCTCTGACTGGCTGTGGTGTCGTGGCTGAGTGGGCATGAGTCTCGCGCTCAGCGATCGTTCCATTGCTTGCCACAACCGTGTCGGAAGCGATCGATGCGGTGGGGTGTATCCATGGGCCACAGAGCCTGCAAGCGAGTAGAAGAAAGAGACGTGAGAGAGCAGCTGGCTATTGAGAGGTTCGGTGAGCCGGAATGTTGAAGGACATGGCCCAGAGGATCCGCACGTCTTTGCTGGGTCCTGGAGTCCTGGGCCCACGAAAAGCAACTCTTGGCCTGCCAGGATCACTGCCCGAATGTGTGAACGCATGCTGCGCATTCCCAAACGTAAAGGATCTGCGCGGCGTTTGTTAGCAATCTGGTGTAGAACGGGGAGTTGTCGATGCCAGGATGACGCGGCCTCTTGCACTAGAGGCTCAAACGGCAAAAGTATCAAAAGGATTCAAAGTATCAAAAGGATTCAAAAGAGCACTGGGTTTTACAGGGGACGCAGTCTCCTTGAAGGCGTCCATCATTAATCTGGAGTTGCAGCAGTTTCGGGAATCATCCGAGACTGAGGCGAAGGATTCACGCCAGACGAGAGTTTCCAGGGCGAGTCGGCTCTGGGGAATGTTCACGTGCAGGCGCCGCGGAGAAGAACATGCCTGGCCTTGCTGTCAAGACATTGCAAGGCTGCTGATTTTGTTCTCTCATGAGGGGCTGATCGCGGTGGGGGCAAAGAAGGTAGCAGACACTGCGCACGTTCTGTTGACCCCTCAAGAAACGGTTGTCATAGTCCGCTTTCGTGCTGGACAACCGACTTCGGGAAGCTATTGCCATGCGACAAGTGTGTGAAGTCGAAGGTGCGTTACTGGGAGAAGCGTATTTTGGGGGAAAAAGAATTCTTGAAGTGAGCTTTTGTCTGTGCCGGCATTGCAGAATTCTGATCTTCCCTTCCGTGCTCCAGGACTGGCGCAAGCCTTTCAAATGGGTTCGGGCGAAAGAGCTGCACAAGACACTTGCCTGCATGGGCGCCTACGGTACATTCCTATTCTTTCGTGTTGCTTTGGGAAGATGTAGCCGCACGTGCAGTAGCCCAGGAGCCATTCAACTGAAGTTTCGTCCTAGATTGACTTTTGTACAAAACCTGAACACGCCTGGATGCACTCAATTCAAGGGATGCCAAGCTTTTCTCCGTCATTCAGGCAGGCAGTACATGCTGCCTTCATACTTCATAACAAGTGTCGCAGGCATCAATCGTGGAAGATTGAGAGCGGTTTGCCGATGTGGAGTGCCTGCCAGGCAGACAACATTGTACAGGGGGAGTTGGGCGATTGCTGGCTTTTAGCGGCGATGGCTGTGCGATGCTCAGCCTGTGCTGCAGTGCTATCTTCGAGAGAACAAGTTTCGTATAATCCGTTAAGGTTTTCGCAGACTTTCCGGGCCACATCATGAACCTGTTTGTGGCCTGGAAGCAGAGAGCCGTTGGGCGACGAGCGTTCCATCGAGTTCAGATCGGGATTCGGTGCCGCCGGTTTGGAAGAGGTTGTGCGACTTCGTTTGTAGAAATGCATTTCGGTGCAGCCTAGCTGACTCCTAGCTGCTCAGGATGACATCAATCTCAAAGAGAGTGGTCGCACCTCGGTTACTTCGAATCTACGAGTGGCCATATCCTGCTTGCTGCCGAGTGAACGGACGGATGTCTCTTGGAAGATGAGCCGAGGATACGTCATCAGGCTGTGGGACATCAAAGGCAAAGGCGAGTGGCAGGACAGAGTCGCATCAAGGAACCTCAACCTCTATGAGCAGCGAATCTCAGCGAAATAAAGCCTATGTAACTCCGAGCAGTGATAGGGACCTGTGCAAGTTGTTCAGAAGGGACAGTTTGAGAGACAATTTACATCGCAAGCTTGTGCGAACGATGCTACACTTTTGCTTGCAGGTGCCTAGCCAGTCAGCCAGCAAGCACTGCCAATCTGTACAGGATGTGGAAGTCGATGACCTGATCCCTTGCGACAAGTACTGCAAGCCCTTGTTTGCTCAATTGACCGGTGAAAGCCCTCTACTGAGATTTAAAATTTACTGGCAGTACGAAGTTGGGCTAGATCAGAACACCAAAACCATAGTTTCGTCCGATGTGATCCGCTGAGGTGGCAGCATGTGGGTGCTCTTCTCAGGTGTGCTTATACACCAGTTTGCATTGCAACTTGCTCAGCCCTGGCTCAGCCTTTCCTGCATCGGCTTTGCTCAGGCGCTGTTGCTTGAAAAAGCTTTCGCGAAGCGACACGGCAGCAGCACAGAACCGTATATGTAGCAGGTAGCGCGCTTCATTCCCGAGAAAGTGCAAATGCGAGAGTGCGACGAAGAAGAAGGATGACAGTAATAATGATAATGGAGAGCATACCCAAATTGTTGAGCTTTGAGCATCTAGGAGTGGCTGGTTTTGTGCCTTAGATTTCGAAGGCAACCTTTGGCCGGAACAGGTTGTGTCTCAACATAAAGTTCATGCACAAACCTTGACAGCGAAACAGTCGCGCAGAAAAGCAACATCAAATGCATGCATACTACTGTAGGAAAGATTGGCCCATCACGCGAATCTGAAGCCCAACAGCCAGTTCTAAGATGGTGCGAGCTTTCGAGTCCCCGTCTTTGGTTTCCGGATCGTAAGGTTCGTCGGTACCTACGAGAAGCTGGTTGGAGGGAGCACGGGGTGGGCTTGGCAGGCGGGATGTTCGGTCCTTTCCCAGAAGTTGCGAAGGCGGTTTCGTTTCGTTTCCGCAAAGGACCCCGGGCCCCCGGGCAGCCGGATCACGGAATCGAGCTGGTTACGAAAAGTGTCTTTAAGGTCTTTGCATGGTCAGGTGCTCACGGGGCAGCCCTGGATGGCGCGATGGTCGCGGGATCCGGGCCAGAAGTGGACGCGCTCCTTGTCTTGGCAGCTGGTGTTAAGCAGTTGCATTGCAATCCTTGGTTTGTGCTGCCAGCAAAGGCTGGGAGATGTGCGACATCCAGGAGCCGTAGAAAGATCCTGCAGATCTCTCCTTAGAATACAGCTAGCTTGTCGGCTAGTTTTGGTCACGAGAGTTTCAGGCAAAGTGCACGTTACTCTGCTGGCTCCCGTGTACGCATGCCAGAGGGCTCTGTTGCAGCTGTCGTCCAATTGCCACGAGTAATTAATGGGATGCCAGCATTTTGCCTTGGCGCAGAAGTGCTTTGGGAAAGCCGAAGAGAACCTCGCCGCTGCAGCCAAGTGGCGCAGCACCCTCAGGAGCTTGCATGAGAGGGTAAGAGGTTGGAAGTGTTTTCTGAAGTCTTCGCAAAGTTCTAAATCTCAAGTATGGGCAGGTTCCCAACATGCGCAGGCTGGTTGGGGTTGGACCCAGGCTCCGACGGCATGCGCGGTGGGCGCTGGAAGGGACCTGTCGAGACATCAGAAGATGATCAAATGTTCCAGGTGGCCAGTCTCCATGCCTGCGCTGCACACCATGTATGCATGTACAGCTGAACCAAGTTCACGTACAACTGGCAGACTGCCGATTGCTCTGCAGACGCAGGCGCTGGCTTCCTACACCCAGGCCTGCTTCGCCAGATGCCCGGGATGTTCCATTTTCACTTGCCTTGATATGCAGCAAGCTTTGGCTAAGCTTGCGGCCCGAATGTGCATCAAACCTAAAGCGTTTTCAAAGTCGGAGTTTTTGAGCGCAGCTGAACATTGATGGCCGAGTCTTTGTCGGGTGTTCCTCAGGCCATCAGCTGCTCCATTGGCCAAGGGGATCGCGCTGAGGCTGCCCGCTTCACCGCTGGCAGGGCCATTATCAACGGGAAAGTGGTGGTTCCCGGCTCTTTCTCTGCGCGTGTGTGGGATATTGGTCCTAAGCTCCTTAAGCCTCGCGGCCTCGTCCTATTCTTCAGGACTTCAGGCATGAGGCTGATCGGGTCATAGAGATGGGGCACGGTTTTTGTCAAAGGTCGAAGAATTGCAACTTCCGAACTTCGTCTCTGTGTCTGTGGCTCCCGGCAGGGTCAGCAAATTCTCACGAGTCATGTCGGAGGAGCGGCGTCCTGACGGCCTGCTCGCCAAGCATGCTTACTCTGTCCTTCAGGCCTGGATTGCCACAAGAGGATGAAGATTCAAATATTCAGAGGAACCAGAAGGCATTCCAACTACGGCTCAACCTACTCGAAGTTTTATCAACTGGTTATATGACCTGGAAAGGTGTCCAGGATAGGAGTAGCACGAGCGCACGAGTCGCATCCGCACCTCGTATGTGCCTTGCAGTTGCAAGCAAGCTTCAGGCTTAGGCGCACGTTGTCCCGCCGATCTCAATAATGCGGGAGTCCCCAGCTGCAGACTTAGCTACCGGTTTCAGGTCCTTTGCGCTCATGGCCAGCGGCTCGTCCAGGCCTCGTTGAGCTCCAACCCGAAGTTATGTCCCTGTGCCGGGATCTCGTGTAGGACCCCCAGAATAGGTCATAGTTGAGCTAGAGGATCATCAGTTTACAGTGTTTTGCAGGCGGGATTCGAGAGGCTTGTTATGTCCTAAGCCGTAGAATTCATCATGTGCCAGGCCTGAACAAGCTTTCCGGCTCGCGTTGCGCAGACGAGGAACAATCCGAGAAGCAAACACAAGTAAACTATCTCTTTCCCAAACAGTTCCCGAAGGCAGTGTGAACAGAAGCCTTTCAATTCCGGCGCTCCGTCCTGCGGCTCAATCCGATGTATTTGTCAGGGAATGTTTGCGCTCTTCTTACGCTTACGCCTCCGCTCGACCGGGTTTGTGCTCTCCTCGCCATGGCGGACTGTATGCCGGAGGAGGCCTCGAGCATCGAGGAGGGGATAGTGTCTTCAGACCTTGTCGCAGAGCCACCAGGCAATGCCGTTGGATCGGAAAGCGCGGTCCCTCTCGCAGCATTGCTGCAGGTCGAAGTCTGCACGCTGGGTGGGCAGACGATAGCGCTGGAAGCTCCTGCAAGCATCACCTTCTGGGAACTCAAGCAGCAGATTTGGGCGGCGGGCGGCCCCGACGTGCTGCAACAAAAACTGCTGATGGAAACCACAGAGGTAGGAGACCGGGTGAGCCTTGCAGAAAGCGGCGGCAGGGGCAAGATCAATCTGACACTCGTTTGCCTGCCCATGGAAGGCGATTTGGCAAATCCGATCCGGGCTGTAGTGAGGTGCTGCCCAGCTCATTGTAGCGATGGCTTAGGGGCTGAAACATGCATCAGCATGGAGGGGGCCCGCTGCTCCATCCAGCCACCAGAGAGTGAGGGCATCGGCTTCAAATCCTTCGAGTTCGCCGCTGTCTTCGATGGCACTGCCTCGCAGCAGCAACTGTACGATGCTGTTGGGGCCGAGATGGTTCAGCACGTTCTCGAAGGCTTCAGTGGGACCGTTACGGCCTACGGACAGACCGGCTCAGGCAAGAGACATTCGCTATTCGGGCCTAAGCCGGAGTCAGCCCCGTGCCCCGAGGATGACAAAGTAGGTCTCGTGCCTCGTGCCGCAAAGAAGCTGATGCAGGCAGCCCGAAGCCGGGTCCGGGGAATGCGCTGGCAGATAGCTTGCTCCTTTGTGCAGATTCTCAACGAGCAAATCTTCGACTTGTTGTCACCGCAGCCGCTGCGCGAGTGCAGCCTGCAGCAGATGCAAAGGAAGGTGTACATCAAAGGTTGCAACGAAGTGGAGGTGACGACCGAGGCTGAGTTCGGGCTTTTGTACGCTATGGCACTTTCTCGGAGCTATATCGAAGCTTCAAACAGAACAGACCTCATCTTCAGGTTCAGAGTCCAGACGGTAGACTCCTATGGATGCGTGGTTTCACGAATGTTAACTTTCGTGAAATGCAAAGGCTCAGAAAGACACAGCAAAAGCACGGTTGAAGGCTCGCTACTTCGGGAGGCGGTGCAAATCGGAATGTCATTGTCTGCGTTGGGCAATGTAATCAGCTCGCTCGCTAATGGGCGGTCGCGTTTCATTCCTTATAGGGACTCCAAGCTCACCCGCCTGCTGCAGGATTCGTTGGGTGGGCCGGCCAAAACAGTGTTCCTGGCCCACATTTCTCCGGAGTCATGCTGCTGGCATGAGTCGCTGAGCACTTTGCGCTATGCGAACCGTGCAGCAACGATTCGCAACAAGCCACTGGCCACGAACTGTGAACAGCATGTAATCTCGTTGCTGCCGTTTCAAGAATGGGTGGCTTCTGTTTCTGTGGGGCAAGACCCCGGCCCTGAGATTCTGCCTGCACCGCAGCGCTGAAGAGCAAAGAGGTTTTGACATCGCCGAACTTACGCGACCGAGAACTTAGGGTTTTCTCAGGCATCAGGGCTTCCTAGGTTTCTGTCAATAGCCATTTCCACAGGGTCCAGTGTTTCTCTTGTGACGAGAGCGATGGTCTTTCTGCGCAAGATTAGCTTTTTGTCATCAACTTCGGCACCAGGCAAATCCTGAACTCCATAGCCGATGGCCGAGAATTGGCGCTGTTGGGGCTCTCCTCACCTCATGTTGCCCCCCCGAGTTCAGGTAGGCAGGTGAAGCAACTGCCACTGAGCTGGGCCAACTTCCATGCTGCAGGGCTTTGTGAGGGGTTTTTGAGCCGTTGGCAGCGTTCGGGGTCTGCAGGTGCGCAACCCCTGGGGCAGCGGTGGCGAATGGAACCGGGCCTGGTCTGACAAAAGTGAGGAGTGGGAGAAGCATCCCCAGAGCCCTGGCAGATCCTGGCAGTCGTTCGCTCGTGAGCCATTGCCTTACAGTCCGAGCTAAGGATAGCAGAGGACTTGAAGGTAGTGGATGCAGATGTTGCTGGCTTACTTTCGTTTTGAGCTGGTGTTTGGAGCTTTTCCAGCCTCCACTATCTTAGGATGGACGATTCTGGATGCCATGGGCAGCTCGACTGCACAACTTCGGCTGCACGGCACTGTCTGGCAGTTTGGCAGCGCCAATCGGTTTAGCAGTTTAGCATTTGCGTGATTCGTCAGCAGTTCCTCATGTTCAAGGCTCCTCGTAGCATAGTTTACACAGTGCTTGCGAGGATGCTTTTGCTGAAATCTTCGGCGGGCACATCATGGCGACTCATCGCATTCAGATGACAGCGCATGGTGAATGAGAGTAAGGTCTTCCTTAGCGTATCTTAGCGTCTGGTAGCCTCGGCAGGTTTGCCCTGTGACGTTGCCGTGTCCAATGAACTCCCAAATCGTCAGTGACAAAGACAGTGGCACCAGGAGGAGACAGCTAGCTGCCGCTTACGTGCTGATGCATGCCTGGAAGCACGGACCGTGTGCCGACAGCCCGCGATCACGATCAGGATGCGATGCCCGCAGTGCCGACAGATCCGCTCTTAGCCGCTGTGCAGTGCTGTTTCAGGCTTCAGCCGTGGCTTAAACGTGTCCTTCTCAGGCCCTACACCCGGAGCTGGGTGCTCCTGGCGAGCGAGGAGTCCACGGCAGGTGATGGCGCCTGGAAGCGCCTGGCAGATGGCAAAAGCCTGTGTGCCATGCCTGAGTCGCAGTTTTTTTTTGCGAAGGAGGACTACTTAAGTGGGGATGACGAGATACGGCAACTGCATCCACTTGCATCTTGCGGCTCTTGCTTTTTGCTTTCAGGTTTCCTTTGCCTCCGGGCGACCTGCCGAGCCAGCGAGCGACTTCTCAAGGGCGCCGCGGCTACTGCTGGGTTGCTGATTCGGGTGATGAGAAGCCTCAGAGGTAACAAATCCAGGTCGAAATGCCGGATGGGATTCTTTGCCGGTGTGCCAGCGCTTGAGGCTTGAAGATTGCGGGACTTCATGAACAGCCGAAGCTCACTCTCGCCCCTCCAAAAGGCTGGGGATCGGGGACGTGGATTCCTATTTTCCGCCCCACGCAATGGTTCGCCTCCTCACCTGGCTTCGGATTTTTTCATAACCTGCAACTTCGAGCGGCTTGCATGTGCTGCTGTTTGGTCCGGCAGTAGGAAAGGAGATGGCATAACACGTGAGAGCTGTGTCCCGTGCAGCCCAGTTCACGGCGTTTGCGCTTGAAGGTAGAAGCGGATTGCCAGAACGGTTTTGGCGTTGAAGCTGCATGGTGTAAGAAGTCGCACGAAGACGATACTTCCCGAACTCAGAAGGTCGGGCAGCTTTGTAAGGCGGCCATGGGCTGCCAAGTTTAGCTTATAACCTGGGGGTTGCAACACTCTGAGATAAGAGATCGCGGCCGGCAGGCCCACGCAGAATGAAAGCTGCTTGGCTACATGTGCTGCATCACGCAAGCGTAAACAAGGTCATTCTTCGGGTTTCCGATGTATTGCTTTGGTCCCTCTCCCTGGGCTGGTCAACTCCTCTAGATATTGTTTTGATGCATCAGTTCGATTTTTGGCTTCTTGGCTTGCCACACCATCTTATCCGCTGAGTTTTAGGTTTTGGCAGAAGCTCGTCTAGTCATTATGCATTCAAAAACGTTTTGCACTACACTCTGCTGCGGAGTGTTCTGGCAGTGTTTCCGTCATCTGGGGTTCAAGCCTTGCTTTGGTGTGAGCGAGAGAATTTGGCAATGGATTTATCGCGATTCTCTGATGTCTTCTTACTCAGCGCTGCTGGATAGATGCTGCAATCTGTAACTTGCATGGAGCAGCTCATGCTCGCGGGCTACATTAAGCTTAAGTCTCCTCAGGTGATGCGGATTGTGCAGAGTGTCGAAACTCCGGCGACATTCCGGCAAGAACGCCGATGAATCCCATGAACGTTTGACTTACGAACGGAGGGCGTAATTACAAATTACAACTGCCACCAACGAACCTCTCGAACAATGGTCCTTGTCGCTAGTGCACCTGCAACAGGTTTGTGAAATTGGATGCGGGTGTACGGTCCACACAAGTCCTAGGAATGTGAGCATGGGGCGGCATGCTATCGCCTGCACCTGAGAACGGGCGAATGATGTGTCAGCTGTTGTTAGGAGTTGACAGAAATGGTTCTCGGTATGATTGCTCCGAACACCAGAGTGTGCAGGCAGACTTGGCCTGGTGACAGGCCTCTATTTTTGCATTATTCTGAGGTCGCAATCCGCAGCACTTCCATGAGCGCTTCCACCCCAGCCTGTGCTTCAGCAGCACTTGGACTCCTTGCGTCCAGCAAGCCGGTCGAAGATGGAGACACGTTTGGGCTGGGCTGGGCTTCGACTGAACTGTGCGACAGCCTGTGCACTGCAGATGTTCGCGAGACCATGACTATGCATGCGCCTTGCCCGCAGGCTTCCGCCCGCCCCTGCCTGTGCAAGTGGTTGCGGCCGTTCCGCAGCATCGGGCTACAAGACCCCGCGTGAGCAATTACAAAGACATGCAGCAGCTCAAAACGAGACGCACTTCTGGTTTGTCCAAGCAGGACCTGCTGTCCAAAATGCACAAGTTCTCCTCCAGATCTCAAGGTGCACATTCCATCCAGGCTGGAACCGCTTACCCATGACTGACGTAGTTTGCTTTAGGAAGCCGAGTTTCGGGGCCTGACAGGCACAAGGGCTTGGCAGGTCTGTACAAGGTCGTCGAGAGGCGCCGTCTTGACCGGGCCTTCTTGTAAATTGTCTCGCTCTTGTTGTCCGTGGTGTATGCCGCTGTTTTTGCGGCCGCCTTGACCTGTCGGAGGCCGAAAGGTAGAGAGAAAGGGCCGCCAGTGTGGCGCCAAAATGATGGGTCTTTGTCTCAGCCGGTAAATGCTGGTACTATGCTTGGAGTTGCTCGGCACGTTTTCCTAGCGCAGGAGGGGTTGGCTTTGGAAGGCTGGATGGCTATCGCTGTTCACATGTGTTCGAGTATGTGCAGTCTCCAGATCAACCCCAGTGGCAGGGGCACGTCTGGATGATGGGTGATCAGGAGGAAAAAGTTGGTGGAGCATCTGGTCTCATCGCTGAGGACTGTGCACCACTCTCTGACTTGGGAAGCTTTGGCCGGAGTCCTCGGCAACGAGTGTCGTCATAAAAGCTTGAAGGATGTTGGCGATGGCATGTCCGCTCGATCGCCTCATCTGGCAAGGGGCTGGCAGGTGCACACGAATCCGAGACGGCGTGAGGACGGTCTTAAGATGGATCGAAAGGTCGCAGGCGATGGCGGCTGGGCAGCAGCTCCGGATCTCAAGGTGCCTATGTGCTCTGACACAGACATGCATGCGGCAGTGGTTGACGAGTTGAGTGGATGCCGAGAGGGTGAAGTGCCTGATATGTAGGTGGAAGTAGACGCAAAGCACGTCTCCAGCGAACATGCGCGATGCTTAGCCAGATATCGAAGTGTCTCCGTGAGCTGACTCCTTGCTATCCACGAGATCTTGGAGCAACAGACTCTTCTAGAGGTTGCTGTGGTTCCATGCAAAAGGATTCGTTCGGTTTCGCTTCCCCGTGCTGATTGCGGTAAGGATGCTCCATGCGATGAGCGCGATGCTCGGGAACAGGCGTGGAGCCAGGGAAGCTTGGGCTTCCGCATTGCAGGGTGTTATAGGGTGTTGCTGTGCTCATCGGCAGATTGACAGGCACTGCGGGAGCAGGCAGACAAGGTGCTTGAAAAATGGGCACGTCAGGTGCTTAACGCTTGTAGAGGATCTGAAATGAGGCTCATTGATCCGCACGCCCTAGCCCTTAGCAGATGCCAAGCCGCAACGAGGATGATTCCTTTCTGCACTTCCGAATTCTGAGCCGTAGCTTTGGGCTGTGGCCGACGTCCTTCCATAAGATGCGAGCTGAGATCCGGGATGCAACAATTCAAGCATCGCCGCCAAGCACTCGCTAGTGTAGTCGGGCCAGTTGTCGTGGAGCCTTTGTCAGACAGGTCTCGTAAGATCCCTTAGTTCAGATGTGTTTCCTGGTTCGCTCGCCTTCTTCGGCCAGTCACAGAACGACCGGGGCGGGCCCAAGCCCCAAGCCAAGTTTCGAGAAGACTATCTGACCAGCTTCTGCATTGATGGCCCCTGGGCCTGCCCTGCGCGACAGGAGTTTTAAAGCTGTTGCCGCGTTTGTTGAAAATGCAAAGCCCGGCCGCAAGCTCATATGTCGGAAGCGAACCTATTGCTGTTGTTGCGCAGGAGTCTGCCGGCATATCTGCCTCCCCCAGCTCGAGATTGCGTCGTCAGCTGTGCAGCTAGCTCGCGCCATGCCGACTCCTGTGACTCTTCATATCTACCATGTCTCCACCAATTCAACGGTGGGCACTGTGAATGAGTACCTGGAGGCCATTGGCACAGGGGCCTTCCACGCAGGAGTGGAGGTCAATGGCGTGGAGTGGAGCTACGGCTATGCGCCTGACCGAACGGGTGTGTTTTCGAACCCACCCAAGGGATGCAAGGCTCACGTGTACAAGGATTCCTTGGACATGGGTGAAACATCCAAGACCGAAAAGGAGATTGATGAGATCCTCGAGCAGCTGAAGGAACCAAGGGATCATCAAAGAATATTCAAAGCAAGGTGGCAAATGTCTCAGCCTAGCAGTTACTGTTGCAGTTGTAATATTATGTGCCATGATCTCGGGCTGTGTTTTGGAGCCGCAGAGGCAAGCCAGCCCGACTCTCCTATGCTGCAGTGCGCTTTTCGATTTTTGTGCTAGGCATGCTTTTTTGCAATGACTTCGTTGCACCCGAACTGCACGGGCTGAGCCTCCATACACGAAGAAGATCTGGTGATGTCCAGGGAAGGGGGAGGAAGGTGGAGTCCACAGTGAGAACCATGGACATGAAACGCTTCTTGTAGGGCCTATCCATGAAGATTCCATGAAGCTAACCACCCTGCAGGAATAGCAGCATGAACAAAAACCCTCTGATGTCGTACATGGTGGGAGGCCAAGATGCAAACTCGTCTAGAGTTCCTGGTTCCTGTTGCTGTTGGCGGCCGATAGGTAGTGTCCGTCATGAGTCTAGTGATTTCTGTTTCTTTGCGGATGCTAGGGCTGCGCCTGCCGAGTGTCTGGGGTCTACAATCGGCACGTGCAATACCGCATTGCGAATTTGCAATTCCCGTTTGAAATGACCAGTGCCAATCCCTTTCGAGGAAGATTGGCCTGGCTTCGAGTACGATCTGCTGCGACGCAATTGCTGCCTCTTCAGCAAGGAATTCGTTGAGCAGCTTGGTACTGGCCCTGTGCCCGGTTGGGTCGCTTGGTCATCCAACTCTCGATGTACTTGTATTTTCTAAGAAGTAGCATGTGGAACCCCTTTCCTTGAATGTCTCTGGCAGAGGTTACGAACCTGGCTGCTGCGGGTGCGACACTCCATGATGGCATCCTCAAAGGCAGGCGTGCTAAGAATGGCTTTGTGCCAAGTCTGTGCTGTGCAGCTTTGTGGGGTGGGCCCAATTGTGGAATAGGCAGGCGATGTTGTGCGGCAAAGTGGGTGGTTCTTGAAGTCCGACTCTGCGTGAGGCAAGGAGATCGCCGACAAAGCCGCTGTCATGGCCAGAGCTAAGGCACCCGAAAGAATAAGATGGGAGGGTTCCGGGTTCTGCGACTCTCCAAAGCCTTCAAAGCCCCCTGTAACCTGTTCAAGTCGCCCTGCCTATGTCAGCACCAGCCGTGTCAAACCGAGGAGCAGATACCCTCTATTCGGAAGGTACCATGTGATTTGCCTCGGGTTTAGAGTATGGCTGAGCGTTAGATGTTCGGGTATCATCAGAAGAAGGCTGTGGGGTTTAAAGGGGCTTGGTGCTGAGGCTTGATGTAGTTTTGTATAGTTTGCTGGGATATGTGCCTGCGGGCTCCAGACAACGTTTGTCTAGGCTCCAGACACCGTTTGTCTAGGAGAGACACTTTATAGGTGGTTTGAACTAGGCAAACAAACGTGGGGTACGACCAGGCGCCGAGTGCGCAAGTGCATGGCAGCATCACTCTCACTGCGTGCCTTCATCACCGCCTTGTCCGCCGTGTCCGGCTGTCTAGGCTGGAGAGATCGATGCAAAGTACAACATCAGCGGGAAGGTCTCGGCCGGTGCAAAGGACGCAGTGGGCTGCAGAGATGACACTATCATATGAGCATATGCACCATGTGCTTGTAGGTTCTGTTCTGCCATGTGGTTTCGGGCTGCGCCATCCCTCCGGTGTCGAAACACCTTCGACAGACTTTGACCGGCTGGGAAGGAAGTGATGCTGGCGGCCGGACGCTTTGACGAGGAGTACAAAGTTCGAGAGAAGGCTTTCGCAGCTGCAGCTGCTCGTCTGCAGCTGGTCCAGGCCGATGAGCATCAGTGAAGAGGGCCATCTTTGGCCTGTGAATGGGCTCATGCAGCTCGCAGTATTATTCCTTCGCACTTCGCCGGAAGGGCTGGGGAGGCTTTGTAAATAGAGTTAAAGTTACAGGGCCGGAAGTAAGGAGATCGCCCTGTGCTCAGGTTGCGGTGAAGGCCAAAGCCGGAGAGCTCCACCAGGCGGCACAGCCCAATTCAGATCCCGTGCGGGAGCTGCTAGCGCAGTGGGATACCGCAATACACCATTCAAATCCCTGACACGCATCAGTCTCGCTTGTGGCATCATTTGGGGTGAGGCAGCGAAGGACAAGGCAGCCGAGATGCACAAGGCAGATGGGCTTCGTAAAAAGCAATAGCTGCAAGGTGCATAAAGGATTTGAACATATCACCATCCCTCACGGACAGTTGCGAGGAACAGGTGAATATGTTTGAGGCTCCTTTGTAGCCAAGACAGACATGGGGCGAGGACGCGGACGCGGACGGCGATGGTGTGGTCAGTGCAGAGGAGATGTCGCCTGGCTGGTGTGGAAATCCGTCGTAGCCAGTTGAGCATGCCATTCGTTTTGGTTGGTGTTGGCTGCAGTAGTAGTAGTAGTAGTAGTAGTAGTAGCAGTAGTAGTAGTAGTAGTAGCAGTAGTAGTAGTAGTAGTAGTAGTAGTGCTGTAAGACGCTCAGCTCTGTCTCTGTTTGTCCCGTCATGATTCTACTCCATTTGCCGATGGTCGGCTTGACATGAACGACTCAGACCAGTGACTGGAGGACATGTCGCATCCCTGCGGTTGAAGGCACTTCCTTGTGCATCTGAGCCTGTCCAAACTTCACGCGATGTGCATGGCGCGGGGTCGAGCCTTCATCAATATCCTCGGTGCCGGTGGCATGTCGCTTCTTGCGGATTCCTGCCGTTCGTGCCAGCCGTACATGTCCTCCAGCTCTTGCGACTCTTGCGCGTCATCCCGAGCCACAACCGATGCCAAGAGCCTTTACCAACGCGGTGAATTCTGCTTGCGTTGTGCATTCTTTCGGGTGCCCGTGCAACAAGTGTGAGATCATGAACACGCAGGCGCGAGATTCTGGGCCATGGTATCTGGCAGGCTTGAGGCTCAAGGCATCAAATCATATACATGAGGAGAAACCGCATTGCTGCCCGTACAAGGCCTTGTTTGCATAAATTCCTCGTTGAATCCATCGCCCACCCCCTTACATGAAGCGAAATCAGAAAAGCTTGCGGAGCAGGGCTTGAGTTAAGTCTGCTTGAGCAGAGCGGAAGACATACTATGGTTATACGGCCGAACAGCGCGATGCACCACCTGATCTGCCTGCTGCTCTGTGAGCTTCACGAATACGCGTCTGTATTTAGCAGGGAAGGGACTCTGCCGCTAGAGTTTTGGCATCATAAGCTTGGTCCGGTCTTGAAGGAATGAACGGACGGACAGATCGGAGGAAGGGAAGACTACTGCTTATGGAAATATGCACGCAATATTAGACACCCACCACTGTCGCCATCGTCAATTGCTGTCGGCCGGACCATGGCTGTAAGTTCTATGCCAGTGCTAGGTTGGCTCCTATGTGTCAGTATGAGTGCTTTAGCCGATGCAAGGAAAGCCTACTTGAAAGAACAGCTCCGGGCGTCCCACGAAAAGGCCCTGAAGGCGGCAAGTGCATTTGTTTTCATCAGAGTAGATTGAAGGACCTGTTGGTAGTTGCCAGCTGTAGGAAGCTTGGTTCAAGCCTTTGATATCAGACTTCCTGGTGTGTTGACGAGAACATGTTATCGCAGCACCGCATTCAGGCAGCAAAGGACCTGCACTCCAGCGTGGACAAGGATGGAGATGGCAAGATCACCTTCGAAGAAGCGTCGCTTGCTTGAAACTTCACGATGCCGGTTTCTTTTTTCACCAATTGATATAATGGGCTGCCTTTGAGCGTCCCTCGCCTTGGAAAGTGTAGCCCGTTGTGGCACCTTCCAACTTGCATGCGATGATACCTGGTGTGTTTTGTCGAAGAGTTGCTTGGGGTCGAATTCTAAACGTTGGGACTGGTAACAGAGTTGAAAGGGTATGGGGCATGGTGCAAGTACGGGAGAACCGCTTCATCCAATGACTGACATGGGAGATTCATCCTCTGTACTGGGGCAAGCAATCAGGATCAGACGTAAACCTTCAATTGAGAAGCAGCCCATTGTGTGGCAGCCAAGGAAAACGTTTGCAACAGAGAAGGCTGGACACTGCGGCTGCGAGGCGTGCACAGTGCAGTGAGACACCTGAGGTCTCGGGGTTTCTGGCTAGGATGTTTGCAGTGTTCATTGCGAAGACAGACGGAGCAACGTGGCCATCCATGGTAGAAGCCGCGACCCCACTGATGCGGGACGGATCGCCGATCCAGCAAGGGGCGGTAAGCTCCGGAGGCTGGTCTAGACATTCCAAAGTGTAGGAAAAATATTCTTGCTTCTGGGAATCCGTTCCGAAGA